ACAATCAGCAAATCCATTACAATTATAAACGAAGATAAAAACGACCTCGATAGCTCATTGGTTGGCATGAAATCCCTGCTGATCTTATCCCAGTTGAGGTAATCTGTACCGATGGCTGTYGCTACTACTATCGTCATGATTACAGCAAGGGCCCAGAAGGCATAGACTCTGTTGAGACCTTTCTTCCAGAAATTTCTTAACCCTTTGGCCCAGTCTGGATATTTGAGACCCTATGAAAGGCAACCAAAGTGAAGAATTTACAAAAAGAAGAAGAAAGGGAATAAGGAGGAGCGGTAGTAGTCCTGGGTCGAGTAAATACGCTGCGATCAATCATCGTATCAATCACCATCCATCATTTTTTGCTCTTCAGAAAATACACAACTCCTCCTGCAAGATGATAACCCTATAAAKCGACCACCTCCTATATTTAACCGCAGCAATACATCAATGTTTATCTATTTGAAACCTCAATAAAGCGACTATCACCATCTTATCAGTAAGACGAACACCCTACTCCCTAATCGACCATCCCCTACTTCCTGCGACAACATGTCAATGGTTAACTATTGCACACCCTAAAACGTCCAGCACCAAAACGAACACCCCATAAAGCGACCATTTCCTATATCTACTCGTAACAACATATAAACGATTATCTATTGCAACACACTAAAGCGACCAGCACCTAAACAAACACCCCATAAAGCGACCATCTCCTTTGTTTACCTGTAACATCATATCCGTTACCATCCACGCGGTGATGAAATCACCCAGCCACACACTAAACGCACACATCTTCATGAACGTTTGGCTCTCAATATCCATCTGAGGTCGTGCGTGTAGTTTATCCATGTATTTACCTTCTAGCATCAGAAAACCATTATACACGAAACTAGAAAAAAAACGAAAAAGAAGTGTGACCAAAACGTTGTAGGGTCAACGTAAAAGTACTTTAATGCAAAAGTATAATATATCGGTAAAGATACGTAACGTAAAGATACTTACGTACTAAAAATTCTTATTCAAAGATAAAAATACTTACGTAATGTTTATGATACGTAGCATGAAGATATTTACGTAAATATTTTTAGGCAAAGATATAAACACCTACGTAATGATACGTAACGTAAAGATACTTACGTAAATATTCTTACGTTCGTAAAAATACTTACGTAAACATTCTTATTTAATGATATAAAAACCTATCTAATGATACGTAACATAAAGATACTTACGTAAAAATTCTTACGTTCGTAAAAATACTTATGCAAATATCTTTACGTAAAGATATAGATACCTACGTAATGATACGCAAAGATACTTACGTAAAGATATACAAGAAAAAGAAACAAGAGAGAAACATGACCATCCAGGAACCTTGTCCGTCTTCGGTAAAAATCTTAAGTTTGAACTTGTAGCAGAAGAGATACTTGTGAATGAGGTACTTTCCAACTAGTAGACCCAAACCTACAGCGAACAGCCATGTACCGAGCTTCACCAGAATAAAGGAGCCTTTTGGCCATCTAAAGAAGAAAAATAGATATACTTTACAATGGGATGTTGGTGGCATGGGTGTCCTAGTGGTTAAGCTGCTGGCCTCTCACCGCTGTGGTCCGGGTTCGATTCCCGGGCACGGACCATATGTGAGTTTGAGTTTGTTTGATGTGTTGTTCTCTCCCTTGCCACGAGGGTTTTTCTCCGRGTCCTCYGSTTTTCCTCCCTCAGTAAAAATCAACATGTGAGGAGTGCTGTGTGCTAAAATACTTAATGTAGAGGTAGTAAGTGTGAGAGTAGGGTCCGTAGTTATTGGCCGCTCCGCGAGCTGTTGCGGTATCGCTGCCCCAACTAGGGGTAAAAGCTAATCAATTTAAAATATAGATTGAAATTTAAAATGTATGGAAAAATTAATTAGTATAAATTGAAGAAAAACGCCCTTCTTCAGCAAACTGAACTTTGCACGCATGTTGTATGGAAAAATTAAGGTGCATCTATAGCGGGACTCGATCTAACCACAACTCTCTGATCTCATGACATGCACAAATCAATACTCCCATTGATCTATGGACGCAGCTACAAAGAGACGGACTTGAATCGTCAGCGTCGCCAGCCTGATGGTGAGGACAGACAGACAGACTAATACATACCGAATGAACATCAGAGAATACACATCCCCAATATAGTTAATGGTACATTCTGTRTAGCTGTGAGAAACCGGATCCTCTGCAAAGATCAAGAAGTTGCAGAACACTACCAAATACGATACGCAGATTCTTGCCCAGGGATGTCGGAAGTAGTATCTACCTAGCTGGACGTCAGTTTTACTTTCTTCTGCCTCAAAGCGACGAATGTCGATCTTGGGCTGAAAAATAGTATAATGAATAAGTTTTTACTCGTCAGTTCTTAAGGCCCGTTTACRCCTGCGATTTTTGAGGCTCGATTGTCGCGCAACAATCGCCTAATTTTCGAACATGCTTGAAACTTAGCTGCAACTAGCGACGATTTTCCATCGCTGTTTACACGTACGATTTGAGGTGCGCGAGAAGTGGCGATTGTCGCGCTGCAAAAATCGAATGTGTAAACATGCCTTTAGGATGTACATCAGGTAGACACTTGTGTATACGACGCAAAAAATTCTCTTATTTGAAAAAAGAAAAGAAAAAGTAGATACACGGATTTACAAACGGAATGGATTTTACCGTCGGAATATGGATTTGATTACATATGGTATATATGTCGCTTCGCCCTACAATGATTAGGTACAGTCAGATGGCCATTTTTCCGTTACGGAGTTAAGTTTTCCGTCTCGACATAAATTTGGTTCCTTGCGTAAGAATGGCCCGTAGTAAGCGGGGAAATACGTAACGAGAGATTGAACTATCGGTGCTGAATTGTAATATACAAATAACACGGCGATTGAAGACTAGATCCGGTTAATTTATACGACACTCGCCTAGTCTAAATGAAAATCACCTACTGACCAGAACTTACATCGAAAAATAAGATTACATCGTGTCTACTGAGCGAGGCTAGTTCAAGATGTTGTCGAACACGACGCTCTAGTTTTTCAGAGTTTAAGTAAGTTTTTTCCCGTAGAAGTACATAGAAATAAAAGTAAAAATGAAAAGAAAAGAAAAGAAAGCATTTTCACAAAAAATTGTGGTATAATGAAGGTAAAATTTGAAGCCGAATGCATACTTTTTTTGGGGGGAAGAATTCTAGGACTTACTTGCTAAAGTACATGGAAGTAATTTCAAAGTATCTTACCCAATATTTCTGCCCAAGTTCGTGTATTTTCTGGACTTCTCGAAGTTCTTTTGGGTTGATGGCTGTTATAGACGGATGGACCTTTGAGCGAGACATCTTGAAAGAAAATCTTAGCAAAATAATCAAATAGAACTCCTGTTTTTAATGATATCACTAAGACTACATAGTATTAATATTAATTAAGTGCTCACCGCAAGGTCTCTTTTTATAAAGGTGCCTCATGTTACTGGCGAATAATTAGCATGAATTATTAACCAATCAGTTTGCTTTGCGGTTTTACGTCATTATGACGTAAAGAAATGAAATTTTACTTAAATTACAAGAACTTTTGAAATAAAGACTTAAAAGCCACAAATGAATTTATGTTGAATGTAAAAACACTGGAGAAAATCGCGCGCTTTAAAGGTTGCAAATTTGATGTAAATATGATGTAAGTGTCCAAAATTCTGTAAATTTAATGGAAATCATTTACATCAAATTTACAGAATTTTGGACACTTACATCATAGTTACATCAAATTTATAACCTTTAAAGCGCGCAATTTTTTCCAGYGAAAGTGTTTGCATTTTAAAAACGAGGATTATTTTTTTGTTATTTTGACATCACGCTTTTCTAGATACATTCATAGGTCGGTAAAAAACACTAGTGTAGTGCACTATAGCGCAGTATAGCATACGTAGTGAAGGGTAGTGAAGTGTAGAATAAATGTACTGCATTGCAGTGTMAGTGTAGTGTGTGTAGTATAGGATAATGTAGTGTACGTTTAGAGTAGTGTCGTGTGATGTAGTGTAGCGTAAGTGTACTGAACTGCAGTGTAGTGTACGTGCAGTCAAAAAAAGTCACAAACGATACATTCAAGAAATTATGACAAAAAAAAATACTAAAACTGTCAACCAATTTTATGTAAAATTAATGTTCACATGTTAATGAATAAGTTGAGGTACGAAAATATTACAATTCATTTCATCTAGTGTTTTCTTTATTAATAGTCAAATTATCAACATTGTTGTTCGTATATTCACATTTAGCGTATGTTTCACATATCATTTTACAATCAAACATAAAAAGCTAGTATAAAAACAATAYTTTTTACAATTTACTTATGAAAATAAAACAGAATTGGAAAAAAATTATACTCTACTTTATCGAGGACGCCATTTGTTACAGTTTCAGCGCTGAGTCCGATGTTACAATTTTAACTCCTGTGAATGGTCAATGWCAAAGTGTAGAAGCTCAATATCGTCTAGATTGGTTTCCATAAATCCGTGAAACCAAATGTGATAGTCAAAGTCTAATAAAGTGTTATACACAGAATAGACAAAGAAATACGTGTGAAATAATGAATAATAAAGAGTATGTAGTACGCTATAATGTATTTCACGGCTAGATGAAAACCCATCCACTTAAATTGCATTAATCTTATTTCACGTTTTTAGTGCCCAAACAACACACAAAAGACAACAGTGCATCAGGACTAGTCAAGATTACCTATCTAGACTCTTGATGTCCGAAATCCCGTCAATATTTGCATACTTGCTTTCAGCATAAATGCCACTAAATATGACTTATTTAGAATTCTTATTTATGGTAAACGCACTGGATTTCAAATTTGGTTTCTTTCATTTCGTTTCTTTAAGTGAATTCTCACAAGAGTTTCTTTTGTCACGGGCTTCCTGTTATCTTATAATCTACGCTTGTTACTTTAAGCCAGGTAGCCTGCCCTTTTGCTTCCAGCTAAGTAGCCTGGCCTTTAAGCCAAGTAACCTGTCCTTTTCCTTACAGCTTAAGTAGCCTGGCCTTTTAACTTTAAGCCAGGTAACCTGTCCTTTTCCTTACAGCTTAAGTAGCCTGGCCTTTTAACTTTAAGCCAAGTAACCTGTCCTTTTCCTTACAGCTTAAGTAACCAGGCCTTTTTACTTTAAGCCAGGTAACCTGTCCTTTTCCTTACAGCTTAAGTAACCAGGCCTTTTTACTTTAAGCCAGGTAACCTGTCCTTTCTATTTTATTCCAGGTAACCTTTCCTTTTTATATCCAGCTAGGTAACCTGTCCTTTTTACCTCGAGATAAGTGACCTGGCCTTTTACTTGAGCCCCCAAAACCAGTCCTTTTTAACTTTAATACACTGTCCTATCACTATCAGCCAAGTAACCTATCCATTCTTCTCCAGATAAACTGCCTTTTTTTCTCCAAGCCAAATAACTTTTCCTTGCTAATTTAAGCGAGATACTTGTCAATCGAGTCAGTGGATTGTTTCCTTTACTAACAGGGTATTCCCAATTATAGCTCTGGATTCTTGCGGATTCTTGAGGAAATCCAGGTTGGAAGTCTTATACCTTGGTCTTTCTGCATTTGGATCATTCGGGTTCTCCACCGATTGGTTATCCATCTACTCTTACAAGATATCAATGAATTTCAAGTTTTACCAACACTTCACCGGTCGACACTTCGTGTAATAGTAGTCTTTGAAGCCAAGGACCACGAGAATTGCTCTGCTTTCGTAGACTAGAGATACTTATTTCCGTTCGACCAAGAAAATCTAATGAAATACACAATAACATATAAACAATCCTCGAAAWGGTTGTGTGCATTATGAAAACAGGGAATGCAAAAAAWGCAAAGACAGTTGTGAATTAATTTTGAGGTTAAATTTTGTCAACGAAATGTGGATTGTAGCTGAGCTGAAATAAGCTTATTTTCAGTGTTTTTTACACTTGAAAAGGATCGAAATTTTCTGATTAAAAGGCCAWGGTCCACCGGCATTTCTTTCGAGCTGTCGTTTACGTTTGAAAATAAAAAAACAACAACATTACTCTTTATTATCCCTTTATGCTCTATGAATGGAGATCAATGTTGCAAGATTTGAATTTATCACTGACTGATGCAAACATACATAAAAAAATCCAAAACGCGACCGAATTGAATGCTGGGAGACCATGACTTTTTAAATAAGCTCTTTAGAATTCCTTAAAATGTTGAAGATATCGAAAGAAAAACACTTTACCATCAGGGGAGAAGAAATCTTTGTCATAGACTGTTATGCATAAGACATCCTGCTCCATATCCTTGATTATGAACGACATGTTGGAGTTCCATTTCGGGTTATTTGTCTGAGGGCAGACTTTGGTTCGGTGCTCTTGGCTTCCCATGCTAACTTGACAGTAAGGATCACTGGTACCTGGAAATATTGAAAGGGAGGGACAAAAGGTAAGAGAAATAAAGGGAAAAAGGACTTTGTAAAGCACAAAAAAGAAGAGGAGAGGGCTCTTTTCAATGCACAACAAGTGGAATCACTATTTTTGGAGAGAGCCTCCGAGAAAAGGAYATGAAGACTTTTTTATAGGCTGGCTACGAGAGAAGCTTTTACAAGTCTAAAAAAAGAGATARGAAAACAAGAGAAGAGGTCCTATTTGGTCTAAGGAGAGAGGACAAAAACAGAGACCGTTTCACAGTCTGAGAAGACGACATTGTTTCTGTCGTTACGCTTTATTTTCGATACCCTCGAATAGGGTTCGTGTCTTTCTTTCGTATTCCCTTTATGCAYTGCGCGAAACTCGAGAGAAGCGACTGGGTACGAGTCTGAAGCAAAAACGTTTTCAATCGAACTCAAAAGTTGCCGAAGTAGACTGAATCTAGTGCTCTTACCTGACGGGTCAGAAGCATGAAGGTCCTTCCCTTCCAAGATCGTAACACTAAGCTTCCCAATACCAGTAGCACGTAGAGATCGACCTGTTACAAAAAATTACATTTCATCAAGGCAAACACGCAAATATACGGAGCGTAATAGACCTCTGCAGCTTTTACGTCATGTACCGTATACGCAATGCATTGTAGGACATGTTTGGGACAAAACATGGTTGATTTCTTTTGTTTTCTCTTGAAACTGATCCCACAATGCATTGCAAATCAAGTAGTGACGTAAAAGGTTCAGAAGTCTATTCAACCATGAGTACGTACTGCGATGGGCTTTCTGTCTCATGAATCGYTCAGTTTCGATGTAATGGTCGGTAGATTTCTCTAAATGCTCGATCCATTTGTTCCTGGATAACAAAATAACACATTATAAAATACATGATCAATGTTGAATAAACGAAGGCCTTCGAAGAAAAACAACTTCAGTCAAGTTTTTGATTTCTATTAGTTCATGTTTTTGCCRGCCTCAGGTGAATCTGGATTTCCATGAATTATAAATATAATTTTTAACTTGTTCCGTTAGCCTTCGAAAACCGAAATTTTCCGGCAAAGCATGCAAGAAACAATTCAGCATATGACTTCTATTCTTACAAATTATAAAAGATAATTTTTTTTTATTTTTCACTGACCTTTCTAGCTTGGTGTCCGTTCTGAACGCGTATACTCGATCAATGTGTGAAATTTGGAACGTATTCTCGTCCGCTAAATACAAACACATTATATAATTCATTGAAATATTCCTTAACATTAGGATTTATGATAATAAAATTAAAGAAATAAAATAAAAAAGTTGGGAGTAAAATKGAGATTGCACGGTTGACCAGCGTTGTTGCCATAAGAGCATGCGTAAGGGTATTTTATTATCAGTTATGGTGGACACTCGCATCCCACATGGTTTAGCGCCTCGTTTAGCACCAACTTTTATTCCTTTTATTCAAAGTAAMCAACARTAGTGAGTGCCTTTAATTTGTCGAGTGAATTCAAATCTCCTTAAGACAAGTTTTTTTGAAATTGTTGTACAACTTACTCACCGTTYAAGTCAGCAGGACGTTTGACAACGATCTCGTTTAGGATTATCGGCTRAAAACAAAACATASTTTAGATAATTGCTATGGTTACACCTAAGAAGACCTGTTTTTACTTCAAASGTTATTTTCAAATGGGTCAAATCTCAYTATAACGGACACCTTTGGTAGAGTAAGTAATTTTCAGTCATTTTCAGCGATTTCTTTGCAGCGCGTATAACTCGTTATAACGGACAACTTCAGGACAGCAATTAGTTCCCGTAATGGCGAGCTTTTTGCATGAATCGGTCACATGGTACTAAATCCATTCTGGATTACAAATTACCCCGGCACTGGAAACGTCTAGCTCTACGGGCTGCGTTCCTTTTGGTTTTTGAGGTTGTGTACATTCTTTTGCCATCCAGTATTGCGGATTTAGTACCGTGTGACCGTCTCAAGCAACAGGCCTATTAAGGTGTTTATTTGGAACAGGGATTTATTTACAATTGACCGTAAAAAATGGGATGCCCGTAATATCGGGGGTGTCCGTATTATTGCGGTATGTAATATAAATAATATTGTTCACCTTTCTGTAAAGCGTGTATTGAACGTTAGCATCGTTTGTATCCAGACCGATTTTCTTGGAAAAACTACCAGCGATTGAGCTTTGAGGTCTCGTGAGAAGCAGAAAGTCATTGAAGAGAAACGCCTTTAAGTCTTTCCCACTCTTGACCTGAAACCACGTGATATCATATGTATCATTCAATATGATTATGATATACACAATTATTGGTTGAGGCTTTGAATGATATGAAGAATTATAGGTTGAAGATGTGTATGATATGGAAAATTATTTGATGAGGCTGAGTATAATTATAAGAAGAATTATTGGTTGAGGCTGAGTATGATAAGAAAAATTATTGGTTGAGGCTGAGTATGATAAGAAAAATTATTGGTTGAGGCTGAGTATGATAAGAAAAATTATTGGTTGAGGCTGAGTTTTATAAGAAGAATTATTGGTTGAGGCTGTGTATGATATGAAGAATTATTGGTTGGGTCTGAGTATCATTTGAAGAACTATTGGTTCAGTCTGAGTGTGACATAAAGAATTTTTGGTTGAGGCTGAGTATGATATGAAGAATTATTGGTCAACGTTTAGTATGATATAAAGAATTTTTGGTTGAGGCTGAGTATGATATAAAGAATTATTGGTTGAGGCTGAGTATGATATAAAGAATTATTGGTCAACGTTTAGTATGATATAAAGAATTATTGGTCAACGTTTAGTATGATATAAAGAATTATTGGTTGAGGCTGAGTATGATATAAAGAATTATTGGTTGAGAATAACCATTCTTAGCTTAATACCTTGTACACAGTTCCCGAATATACCAGCTTACGTGGACCAAGACAATTCGTCGCTGAATTAAATATAAGCTCCTATTTAAATAAAAACAACAAAATCAATCGATCTGACTCAGTTTTGTCAAGGTTTGTCCTATATCTTCCATCAATACTTGATAAAAAATCCCAGCCATATTACCGGTAGTATAGCAAAGAGTTTTAGTTCTCAAAAGTTATTTCTTTGTATGTGATTAGCACTTACTGAGGAGGCCTCCTTATTGAACATTATTGTTTTGAGCAACTGTATTTCAAGCTTATTTTCGGGGGAATATTATCAAGAATATTTGCAATAGTTTTCTTCACGCGGTTCCCTGCGCCATCTTGAAAGGTAGCCGTGCCTTTGCATCGAAGCGAGACGACCGTTGAGCGTGCAATGATAGATACCTGTGAATAATTGTCTGTAGGTGTGAAAAAAGGTTTCTATCATTGCACGCTCAACATTCGTCTCGCTTCGATGCAAAGGCACGGCTACCTTTCAAGATGGCGCAGGTAACCGTGAAGGAGACTATTGAAATAGTTTTCCCCGACACACTAGTTTACCACTAGTTCCCCCCATTTTTTCCCGAGTTTAGTTGAATTCTTACATGGACAACTGATTGATACTTAAGAAAGTAGTTAGTACACTTTTAGAGAACCGAGTATAAAAAGTGCTCCACTGTTGCGCTGACGGTATTTTTGCATAAAACTCTAGATGTAACAAAGGCTATTCAAATACCTCTTGTAGTTCTTCTAGCTGAACATGACTCTGTAACCATTCTAAAAGGTCTGTACTCTCTTGTGAACGGACACCTTCGTTGACCTAAGTACGATTTTCAGAAAAAGTTAGACACTTAGGCTCAAGATTGACACTTTTGGCGCTAAATGCCCTACTTCATTATGACAACACAGTATGTTTACATCGGAAAACGATGCTATAAAAACAGTGGAAATTTGGACCCGTTTATATTGTCTACTAAGTAGAACTTCAATGAATCGTGTTTTGATGTATATCATGTATTAATGATTGTTCATGTAAATTTTATTTCATATTCAGTCACTCTGATCCCCTCTGGCGACCATAATCCTTAGCGTTAAAACAATAGAAAGTTTGATGTGACGTCATAATGAAATAGGGCAATTGCAACCACCCGTTCGCAGGTCCTTTCCCCTTCGTTGGAGGCAAAGGTAAAAGAATCTGGAAACGAGTTTGCATTGTAGTAAGAATCAAGCGTGATTTTTGATGYAGAATCGTTGCTAATGTAACTTGTAAAGTAACAATGTGACACTGTACCTGATTGCAAAGTTCATCAGCTCTTTCTAAAGCTAATTCCAAGTTTGATCGATCAGGATGATTTTCAGGGGTGTACTTTAAAATCTAAAATGAACGAAAAGCAAATATATTGATAAAAACTTAATAATGAATACATAAACGAAAKGACAGAAAAACAAATGAATGGATAAATGGATGAATAGAAAAAATGAATGGATGAGTTATGCGATCTCTTTTACACTGTAATAGCCTCAATTGTGTGCAAAATATTCAGAAATTTAACTGTTGAGATTTTAAACTATTTCCATTGTCTTCTACACTCACGGGTCTCTTGCATTTGCACGGGCTGTTAGTGAATAAAAAAATTTATTACAACATGGTTTCGAGGCTAACACAGCGTAAAAGAGATCGCTAAATGGGTTTATTGCTCTACAGCGGATAGATGCTCAGAGAAACAATGGAAATTTGGACCTATCGATGTTCTCTCTGAATGTAGATGAACTTTAGTGTATCGTGTTTTGATGTTTGTCATGTATCAAATATTGCTCATGTGCATTTTATTTGATATGCAGTCACTCTGATCCCCTCTGGCGACCATAATCCTTAGCGTTAAAACAATATAATGTCTGGTGTGACGTAATTATGCGATAGGGCAATTGAATGGAAGAACAAATAACAAATGGATGAATAGATAAATGAATGAGTGAATGAAAGAAAGAAGGAATAAAGCAATGGAGAAATAAAAAAAACTGACTGAGAAATGGAGAAATACTCTGTATTTAACCTAAATATCCTATATTTTACCTCCTTGATCACTAACGGGTATTTACAGATTCTTTGCAATGGCTTCAGAAGGTAACTACTTAGAGGCAGACCATTGGCTCTTGGATTGGAAGTACATTTCTGCAAATGAAGCAAGCACAGTCAAACTACGGCATTGGACAGTACAAAAAGTTATGGTAATTTAGTAAGGAGCCATRCACCTCTGACGAAGTTTCAAGACTAAAATGACAGTAGCTATTTTTTTTTATTATTATTAATTTTTTAAATGTAGCTATTATTAATACTGTATTTTCGTTTCCAGATTCTATAAGTGTTATGTTGTTAAAATACCTTTTCTAACTGCTTAAACTCAGCACTTGACTCGATYTTTTGTTGTATGAACTGACAAGCTTTCAGTTGACGACTGCAAAACCTGACGTAAGGCGAGAAATGCGGAAGCTAAAAACAAAACAAAAATACATAAGAATGAAGACAAAAAGACAATAGATAGAAATGGACTCCCTGTGTAATATTTACTGAGGCACAGGAAGCCCACAAGACTAACCTGTTCGCACATAAGGTCGCCAATCATCATAATGATTCCGTTGTTTCGCATTTTCTTACGCACAAGAAAAGCCCTAGGGATTATTACATGTTAGCATAATGATTACATGCCGTACTTTTGATGACGATGRATGAACTGCTAAGGTCTAGAAGCAACAGATTCAGTAAAACTCAATAGTCAACTAGCATCCCTTTCGAGCTTTTGTTTATGTTGAAAAAAATCGCGCGCTTTAAAGGTTGTAAATTTGATGTAATATGATGTAAGTGTCCAAAATTCTGTAAATTTCGTGGAAATCATTTACATCAAATTTACAGAATTTTGGACATTTACATCATATTTACATAAAATTTACAACATTTAAAGCGCGCGATTTTTTTTCCAGTGTTATGCTCTATGAATGGAGATATGTCAGATATTGTAAGATTCGACCTTAAAACTGACTGATGGAAACGAATTGCGAACGGATGTTTGAAGTTATCTCATTTGACATATATGAAAAATCGACCGAATTGAATGCTGGTGGACCATAGCCCTTTTAAATCGCTTAAGTCCGGGTTCGACCTAYGCACATTGAAAGCCATACRGAAACTTTTGTGTATAAACTTACTTGAGAAGTTTCATGTTTGTTCGTATCAGTTCCTTCCAGTTGACAAAGGTTATCGAGAGTTCTTCCTCAGTAAGCAGCTGCGACTCAAACAACGGGTTATAGAATATCTGAAAGGCATAAAAAATGGAGTGAGCAAAGGAATGAATAAATGAATGAGAAAAAGCATAAAAAATGGATAGAATGGAAAAAGCACAAAAGAGAAGAWAGAAAGTAAAGGAGGTATGGAGAGTAGAAGAGAAAGAAGGGAAGAGAAAGGCTGGAAGCTGACAATGGAATTATGAAATAGTTCGGAAGGAAAGGAAGAAATCAGAAAAAAAGAACGAAAATGAAAAGAGAAAGGGATATAGGCAAGCATGTGAATGGAAAGTAAAGAATACAGCACGGKTGAAGGTTTTCAAGAGATTGAGGAAGTAGAACGATGTACTGATGGGGTAGCTACATAAGCAAGGAGAAAATGAAGTTAGAAATGATCGTATATTATAAAAAGTACAAACCTCTAAYGTGAGACTTAAAGAATCCACGTACGACTGCTCTGTGTTAATCAATTCATAAATAGCATTCTACAAATAAATAAAAAAAAAACATTCATTAATACTTCTCGGGGCCCAAAGTCGATTATAATCACTTCAAATCACAGAAACTCGCTCAAAGTGCTTTTGCATTTTGAGTAGTTTTAGTGGTTTTCTATTTTTTTTTTTTTTTTTTTTGCTGAAATAATATTATAAGAAGCTTACCTGTCTCATTCGCTCTACATCTGACATTGACGCCAATACCTGAGCATCAAAAGACCCAGTCCCTGTTGCAAGATAAAGAAGAAAAAATCACGTGAAATCATGGAAAAATACAAGTATTTTATCAAAATACAAAATGGCGGGAAATACAAATATTTTAACGCGTGCGCCGGTTGCATTTTGTGGAAATAATTTTTTTTTTACGCAAATAGGATCTTGTTTATCATTTAAATTATATGATAAAAAGAGAATTTACGCCAGGAACGATTATAATSAAATTGGATATAGTTATAAATATTCGGTGTTGAACTATAATTTCATAAAAGAATAAAGGTCAATAAAGGCTAGACCGAGTTTAAATTATAACGTGACGTTATTTTAAAACACTTACAACAACTCAATTCGTTTGAGTGAAAGAGCGTTTAGCTTAAATGTAATTTTTCAGGCGTGCAAGAAGCTGAATTCAAACGGAAAAAATGAGAGTGAAATACTACTATTCCGCAAAAAAGTTCAATTCCGAAGCAAAGATACGATCAAAGATCGTTGAAACCATAAAAAGGAAAAAAAAATACATTCTACACGAGTCGTAATCATAAATATACACGAAAACACAAACATTTCAAGAGCCAAAAAGTCATTTATATTTTGTCGAATATTTACCAAGTTTTGGAAGACTCTCGTAGTCGCTTGTTCGAGTAACGAGCGATTTTCGCGCCTTTTTCGAGTTTGTCTTATTCATTCCTTTTCGGACTGAMGATCGCAAACCGGTTAAAAACCGGATTTCTTTTGACATAAAACCCATCGTCACTTCGCTTAGGAGACTCTAAATGCCACGACTGGCTATCAGAATTCCATTTTATGGGGAATTCCTCATGTTAATCGTCATATTTTACACGTTGGCAAATTATTCTATTTTGGTGTTTACTCGTGAAGTCACGTAAGTCGCGTCACGCTGTCTTTTTGCGAMACGTGTTTCACTCCTCAAATTCAGCTGGTGGTAAAAACACCTTTCGATAAAGCTATAAATTTTAGATTGTAAAGACGGTGAAAGTACGTTCAAAATAACTTAAATTTTATTGATCTTGAATCATTTTGAAAGGAACAGAATTTATAAGCCTTTGTTTTGGGCTGTCACGTGCTAAASCGCATTACGATATTTTCTATTTTTATACAATGTACAACCTGGGCCAGCTTGTGGCTTGTTATTTTTGTGCCAAATCAAAGGAGCAATAATCAGTTTAAAAACTGGCAGTATTAAGRCAGTTAACTCGTGAAAAAGAGGTAATAGTCGAGGTGTTATAGTCATCGTTAAATAGTAACATTTATTCACAAAAGAAAAATGGTATTTGAAATAAATAGTGGGTCAAATTTTCTCCATRTTGATAAGTATTATCTCTATGATCAAAATGACCGCAAAAAGAAGCAAAAACCACCAGTGTGGACCGGCCTTTTGCTCCCTTACTCAAGCAAGTCATTCACTATTATATTTAAGCAGTTTCTTTACTTATTCGACATAAAAGCGTAGGTGTTTGGAGGTGTGAGAGGGGGTGTGCTGTTAAAAACACAAAATCGAAATTATCCCATTCTCATCGGAAAATAAAATGCATACGGATCATATCGTTTTTTTATCGTATCTTTTAGTTCAAATTCCTTTATTGAGGTAAAATTTTCTTGTATTTATCATATCATATCCAGACACAAAGCTGCTGTAAACGTGCGTGACAATTGCATCATTCGAATCAGTACATAGAGCGTGACATGCAAACCAGTACAAATGTTACATCATCGCCAAATTTGTACAATTTCGTATTGCTGGTTTTAAATGCCACAACATTTCCGCAAAATTACGTTTTGACAGATTAACTTAAACAGAGTTATTTTCATCCGTCTGTGAAATAGGAATTGTACTATTAAATACTATTACCCCCTATTAGCTCCGAATAGTTTAACTTATGACATGCGACAAACAAATTAGGCAAAAACGGTTTTGATTTTGCCTTTTRGTAGCCTACTACACCCTAATAGTTACTATTAAACACYGACTAGTAGTAATTGTTTCACAGACGGATGAAAATGACTCTACTACATCTTGCCTGCTAGAGAATTCATCGCGTGTTAACTGTCTTCAACGTACAAAGAGTAACAGATATGCTTTGGGACCAGAMACTAAACACAAGAGCCAGAAATAACCATTTATACTTTAATAAGATTTTAATAATCATTACAGGCTAAATCACCACCGATTACATGGACAATGCAGTTAATTAATAATAATTATTACCTATTAATAATTTCTTTAAAGAATAAAAAAATAAAACCAATAGTAGACCAACGTCAAATATCTTTCGCGGAGATAACTTTCCTTATCTAAAAGAACCTTTTTCACCACTACAGAATAACATATATATTGGGATTGCTGTGTATACATTTATATAAAGAATTCTAAATACAACTAAGCTCGAAAAGAATCATGGAGAATAACTACCCATGATCCTTCAGACTTCATGAATTCAAAAAATACTCTCTATTTTGAACAATCTTCTACTGAGAATGCATTATGGGTAATAGTACCCAGAATACTTTGCAGACTTAGTATTATGGTCTAGTCCCAAAGCATTTCTGTTAGTTTCTTTGTCTTGATTGTWTGTTATTTCTTATCCTGTAAGAAAAYGGGAATTTTGGTTAAATGKAGCAGTTTTCAGTGCACGTAAAATGACGTCATTAGTAAATTAGACCGAAAAGCATTATGGGTAAAACTCAATCAATTYTGAGAACAAGATGAAATTCAGTGCTTCATGTGTGAAGTCGTATTAGTAACCAGTCTCAAAGGCATGCGCACAACCGAGATAAGCTGGGGACGAATCAAGCTTCATTTCAAAAAATGTGGGCAAATATGGTAATTCTATAAGACAAGAGGAAGCAATTCTTACTGACGTTTTCGTTGAAACGAAAAGAACGAAACAAACGAAACGAGAGAAGAAACAAACSAAACGAGAACGTCAGTTAGTAATGCTTTCTCTGGCGGCGTAAAAATCTAATTCAACAAACTAAAATAGTTGATTTTAGTGCAAAAAAAAACACACATTAGATCGTAAACAAGTTTATTCCTAGAAATGGACAATCACGGGTGACGTCACTTACTCTGACATTTGCTGGGTATCCCGGCCTGGTTCAATCCCATGCTTCATTTCGGTCATGGCGCACTTGAAGTCGGTACATATTTTGACGTGACTTGTGATTAAAAACACTTCATAATTCTTGAAGTTTGTTTGGAATTAAACTACCAGCATTTAGCATTAAACTACAACTAATTACACTAAATTAAAAATATATAATACATCCTCAATATTGTGACATTTTGTGATATTCTTTCTATTTTTATTTTATTTTTTCAATGTTATATTTATTTATCTATTTTAACGACTGCTCYGAATTCCAAACTCATGAAGTCTAGGAGATTATTTTCCCAAACAAAACAGCGCGAGGATTCATTATACCGTCATGCTTTGCTTAAAATGGCGTCTGGTCACGTGACCACATTGCCTATCAAACTAGTCGATGACGAACTGTGTATAAATATTTACTTACACTGTGTGGTAGTAACCGGTAAATCACTCAGGGCCTGGACATAGTTTGACGGAAACATCCCCACTTGTCCATTCATTTCGCCTTTCCACCAGTCCCCCTCGCGGCTTATGACGTTGATAACACTACCCTTGTAGAACGTGAGTTCGTCTTGATTCTGTGCCGTGTATGGRAACATTGCTAGCACTTGCTCCAACTTAGCTGGAATTATCAACACATTTATTATTAGTGAATTAGCTAGCAGTAATGATGCTAATGATGTCATGAGGTGTCCGCCGAAATGCACCATGGGATGGTCRAAAGAACATGTAGAAACTGCAGTCATGTTTGTTGCGTTGAAGTCTGTTTTACGAACAAGCATTTCTTTATTTTTTTCTAAGACTGGTCTTTGAATATACTTTAAAGCGCACCCATCTTATTTTTAATATTCTTTCAAAGCATGTTTGACTACAAATGACGTTCAATTCGCAACGAAACTTTATTCTCAGTTGTTTTAAAAGGATCATCCGCCATCTTGATACTTTTATCAATACCATGATGCACTTCGCCACAAACATGACGTCATTAGAAGTTTTACAGTTGCGGGTTTCCCCTTTACAATATTCAATTCAAGGCATATTTTGTACAACAGAATGGCGGCTTAGAACATTACCTTGTCCCATGGTCTTTGACACTGGCAGGACATCGTATGTCTAAGAATAACAAAAGGATATCATTAAAATTAATATAAATTAATTAATACTCCAGTTTCGAATTCTATTTTGTGCAAGCTTAGCTTTAATCAAGCATAAATTTTTATTGTCTTCTTTGCGCACAGAGTGTTTGCATAACAATAGATTCTCTACTGAAAAAAAAAAAGAATAGAGTCAACTCTCTCGCAAGCGACCAACTCGGGATCAGGAAAAAGTGGTCGCTTATACGAGAGATGGTCGCTTACAAGAGAGTTTTTTACAGAGTTTATATGGGAAAAAAGACGGGAAATTTTAAAAGTGGTTGCTTACGGGAGATGGTCGCTTACAAGAGAGTTTTTTTACAGAGTTTATATGGGAAACAATTATAACGGGAAATTTAAAAGGTGGTCGCTTACGGGAGATGGTCGCTTACGAGAGTGATCGTTCAAAGAGAGTCAAACTGTATATTGCATGCTTTAGAGGTTAAGGCTGCAAAAATCAGATCTCGATACTGGAGTATTACACCTCAAACATATCTACTTACGCTTGAGAGATCAGCAGGCTGGGGTGTGGTCCGCCCTGATGACGTAGGGGTTACATTAGGGGACTTGCTCAGAAGTTTCACGTGATTTGACGGGAAGATTCCGCTTTGACGTTTCTTTCCCCGTGCCTGAAGCAAAACAACTTGGAGTGATTAAAAAAGGCCTCACTAAATAAACGCCTCACCTCTATTTGACGTTCAATGGATTATATACAATACAATCTGATTGGCTCTTTACCTGTAGTTCACCGTCCCACCATCCACTGGGGTCTTTCTTCATGACCTTTATGAGCTGCCCTGGTGCCAAGCTAAGCTGATCTGGCGTCGTGGCCGTGTAAGGCGTGATAACCGTAGCGATTTCTGCAAGTTATAAGTTTAGTAAATTACATCTTAATAAAAACTACAATCGTTGACAAAAACCTTGGACCATTCCAGCGAATTTCCTCATTTTAAGGCAACACCCGCNAATTAATATAAATTAATTAATACTCCAGTTTCGAATTCTATTTTGTGCAAGCTTAGCTTTAATCAAGCATAAATTTTTATTGTCTTCTTTGCGCACAGAGTGTTTGCATAACAATAGATTCTCTACTGAAAAAAAAAAAGAATAGAGTCAACTCTCTCGCAAGCGACCAACTCGGGATCAGGAAAAAGTGGTCGCTTATACGAGAGATGGTCGCTTACAAGAGAGTTTTTTACAGAGTTTATATGGGAAAAAAGACGGGAAATTTTAAAAGTGGTTGCTTACGGGAGATGGTCGCTTACAAGAGAGTTTTTTTACAGAGTTTATATGGGAAACAATTATAACGGGAAATTTAAAAGGTGGTCGCTTACGGGAGATGGTCGCTTACGAGAGTGATCGTTCAAAGAGAGTCAAACTGTATATTGCATGCTTTAGAGGTTAAGGCTGCAAAAATCAGATCTCGATACTGGAGTATTACACCTCAAACATATCTACTTACGCTTGAGAGATCAGCAGGCTGGGGTGTGGTCCGCCCTGATGACGTAGGGGTTACATTAGGGGACTTGCTCAGAAGTTTMACGTGATTTGACGGGAAGATTCCGCTTTGACGTTTCTTTCCCCGTGCCTGAAGCAAAACAACTTGGAGTGATTAAAAAAGGCCTCACTAAATAAACGCCTCACCTCTATTTGACGTTCAATGGATTATATACAATACAATCTGATTGGCTCTTTACCTGTAGTTCACCGTCCCACCATCCACTGGGGTCTTTCTTCATAACTTTTATGAGCTGCCCTGGTGCCAAGCTAAGCTGATCTGGCGTYGTGGCCGTGTAAGGCGTGATAACCGTAGCGATTTCTGCAAGTTATAAGACTAGTTTAGTAAATTACATCTTAATAAAAACTACAATCGTTGACAAAAACCTTGGACCATTCCAGCGAATTTCCTCATTTTAAGGCAACACCCGCAGACAATTTCATCCCCCCTGACCCCCTTAATGCAATGTTGTCATTGATCATGTTACCATAGTACACAAGCATCCAAAACAAGACCCAACATTGATGAAAGGGGGCTAAGGGGGAAAACTGTKATAAAATAAAGGAGAAAAATGATAGGCTGGAGACAAATATTTGTACGGTCCAGGGTATTTTGGCAACGATTGTAGATTAATTCTTACGTGCAGTATGACTGGTTGATAGTGCGCTATTTTGTGATATTACGGATGCTCTTATTGGTTCCCTATAAGTCCACAGTGAAAGCAAGAAATATGATTGKTCCAACAGAGACACACGTTGCTACATAGCCACATATGAGGAACGCATGGCAGTATGAGATACATGATGTAGAAATGAACGAAAGTTATAGTGCTTAGAAGGAGGTCATTCTGG